TAGTAGACTGATGGTTTAGCAGGGAGAAAACAATCTTGTGGAAGATAGGGAGCTGTTGCCCCCAGAATGGCGTACTTGTGTGGACCTCTCCTTCTCTCTACTGTGTAGTGAGAGGGAGTGACAGGTGATCAGCCATATTGGTTGCCTCACTCGACTGCCCCCATTCCTGATGGGGAGGGGGGTGTTGTGCATTGATGATGGAGGGGGACCCCATTCCCCTAAAGACCAAGCACCAGTTTAGTACCTTAAAATGCTCTGGTGCCACCCCCCTTTTAAATTTTTCATTGAACATAATACTTAGCCTGAATAAAATCCCTACAAATACTGCTGAGTATTTTTTGGTAATGTTCCACGTGGTCCTAAAGCTGTTCCCAGTAGCTATTTTGAATTCTTTTTATTCCAGTCAAGCAACATGACTGTAAACATTTTATAACAAAGCCAGTTCGTTTTTATGTTTTGATGTGGCTGGCCTTTTTCACTGCAGAATCATGAATTATGTCCCTAAAGTCAATGTCATTTTCTCGATAAACAAATAGGGTTGCCAAGTCCCCCCGGTCACCAGCAGGGATTTTTTTTTGGGGGGTGGGGTTGCTAGGGCTGCCAGATCACGGCTGGGAAACTCCTGGAGATTTGGGGGTGGAACCTGGGAAGGACAGGGACCTCAGTGGGTACAATGCCATACAGTCCTCCATCCTCCAAAGCATCCCTAACAGCTAGTCTGGAGACAAGCTGTAATTCCGGGGGTTCCCCAGGGCCCACCTGGAGGCTGACATCCCTAACAGCTAGGTGGCTTAGCTGCTCTTCCTTAGATAATGCCAGCATTTTTGTATGAGCACTTGCTTGCTGAAACTTCTCTGAGCTTCTACCAGAGTCTCCGGCTATATATATTAGTTGTAGCATTTTGTTTTGTTTTTGTAAATCTCATTTAATAAGTGGGGGTTGTCTATACTCTTTGCCAAAAGTCGATTTGAAGATCCCCCCCTCCCCCGATGCAACATGTCACAAGGGAAAATTCTCAGAAATCTGTAGGATACTTGGGAGGGAGACACTGAGAAATTTCTTCCAGTTCCTTGGGCTCTGATGTCACGTAATTTAGGACTAGGGTTGCCGATCTTCATTCGGCACCTGGATATCTCCCACTATTACAACTCATCTCCAGACCACGGAGATCAGTTCCCCCCCTGGAGAAAACGGCTGCTTTGGAGGGTGGATTCTATGGCATTATGCCCTACTGAGGTCCCGCCTCTCCCCAAACACCCTCTCCTCAGGCTCCACCACCCAAATCTCCAGGTATTCCCCAATCCAGAGCTGGCAACCCTATTTAGGACTGCATGGAACATAAAATAAATGTTATTGTTTGGGTTGCCAGCTCTGGGTTGGGAAAAACTGGAGATTTTGGGTGTGGAGCCTGTGGAGAGCGGAGTTTGGGGAGTGGGGACATAAATGGGGTAGAATGCCATAGACTCCACCTTCCAAAGCGGTCATTTTCTCCAGGGGAACTGATCACTATCAACTGGAGATTAGTTGCAATCCCAGGAGAACTCCAGCCACCACCTGGTGGTTGGCAACCCTAGTTATTGGTTGCTTTGGATCTGTGCTCTAATTCACAGACCACGTTGCCTAATGTTGCATCAAAAGGAAAGGCTCTGGTTCATTTTTAGAGATGGCAGAACGAGATTCCACAGGCTCCAACGTACAGGGCTTTGTTGGTAGCGTTCCAGACATCTTGGCATCTTTTCTCTCTTGTTGAGAAGAAATTCTGGAAAACAACACTCACCAGCATCTTTTTTAGCATTGGCTTTGTTAGCTTCCGCATTTCCTCAGAAGCCAGGATACCAGCCAGACAAATTGTTGATCGATAGAATTTGTTCTGTTTTTAGACTAAAAGCCTGGGTTTTGAGGAAAAACCTGAGTCAGATCGGGGCAAAGTGTTCTCTTGGGTTGCCAACCACCAGGTGAAAGGCAGGAGATCCCCCACTGTTACACACATGGGGCGTCAAAATTCTATAAAGATCTTTGAACATAAGCTACAATTTAGCTTCAGATGTTTTTTTTTTAATTATGGTAATGGGAGTTGCTACTCTGGGACAGCTACCACCACCCCAATCTCTGGGCCCCGGTGAAGTGTTGTTTCCTCCAGACATGGCTCCCATCTTCCCCCATCTCAGCTTCACCGCTTCATGCATTTCCTCCACTCTCTACAGGCTTCTAAAGCTGTGGAATGTGACTCTAAGCAGCAAAGCATGTGCACACACAGAATGCACAGGTGAATTGTAGTAGTGCCCAGGGGTCATTTCGTAGAAAAAGAGCTAGGGGAACTCATTAGCATAACTCATTAGCATATGCCACACCCCCTTATATCAGGGGCCCAGCGGTGGACCTGCAAGGCCGGCGGGAGTGCGAGGAAGCCCCGCCAAGGCCCTCCCTGGCCCCAGGCATGCAGGGGTGGGGAGAGGCGGGGAAGAAGCAACTTACCCTCCCTCTTCTCCTGCCTCCTCCTGGCTGAATGAGGGCTGGAAGCGGGGTGGACGGAAGCAGGGGGCGGGGCTTCGTCGTGTGCCCCGCCCCCCCGCACCTCCCCCGGGGGAACTGTGTGTCCCCGCGCCGAAATGACCCCTGGTACTGCCTCAGGAGCAAGTACTGGGGCAGATGGGCCAGGGCCCAGAGTTTCCTGCCCCTCTCCCCCAGGCCATATCTCTGGCTCCTCAGGCTCTTCCTCTAGGGCTTCCAAGTCAGAGTCCAGAGCCAGCTCAGTGGGGGTCATGATGATGTTCTGGGTTTCCTCTGGAAGTGATATAGCGGTATGCCCCCCACCCATGAACCTCCTGTTGGTCGCGAGGCTTGGCAATCCTATGTACAACACTTTTTCCCCTTTAGAAGCCTGGGAAAGGAGCAATGCTAGGGAAAAAACCACCTGGAACTAAAGAGCATGGGGAGTGAAAGCAGGAGAGAATTCCATTCCCATCAGCTGTGTGGTTGGTCTTAATGCCGAAAGCAGATCTCTGCCCCCACCCCAACTTTATATGTAAATAGGGCAGACATGTGAACAAACCAGCTTGACTGCTCCCACAATCTGAAGCTTGGTCCGCACTCTGTCGCAGTGTAGGGTTTCCAGGTTCTACCTGGCTGGTGGTGGGGAGCTCCATGGTCCATTCCAGGATCTTCCAGTGCAGGCATGAGGAGTGCACACTGCAGGGGTGTGTGTGTGATGCTCTAGTTTTTGGACAAAGCTCTCTGGTTTGAGCTCAATTTTACCACAGAGTTTTGCCCAAAAATTAGAGTGTCACCCCCCTGACGCTGACAACGTGATGACATTACTTCTGAGTGATGGCATTATGTCACATTTGGGGCATTTGCAGGCAAGGTTTTCCCACACCAGCCAGCTGGCTGGCTGCAGAAAGGGCCCCGCAAATGCGGGGGAACCCCCACCCGGACCGGCGACCTGGCAACCCTATCACATTGTCATGGGTTGCTACTAATGGGAATGAGAAAACACCCTGTCATCATTTATGATATGGAATAACGGTTGCTACCAGTTATCTGCCCTGACCTGGATAGCCCAGTCTCATCAGATCTCGGAAGCTAAGCCGTGTCAGCCCTAGTTAGTATCTGGATGGGAGGCCATCAAGGAGGTCCAGGGCCTCTATGCAGAGGAAGGCAATGGCCAACCCCCTCTGAATGTCTCCTGCTTTGAAAAGCCTACAGCAGTGGTGGCGAACCTATGGCACGGGTGCCAGAGGTGGCACTCAGAGCCCTCTCTGTGGGCACGCGTGCCATCGCCCCAGCCAGGCCCAGACTGTCATTAAAGTGTCGAATTCTCTGCCCAATAATTTTAAGTAAATGAAAGCATTTGGGATTGCTTTCCTTCCTTTGTTGGGATCATCTTAAGTCAATGTGTGAGTTGTTTTTTCTAAAGTAAAACCTCAGTATTCAGGTTAAATTGCCATGTTGGTGCTTTGCGATAAATAAGTGGGGTTTGCGTTGCAGTTTGGGCACTCGGTCTCTAAAAGGTTCGCCATCACTGGCCTACAGGGTTGCCATAAGTCGGCTGTGACTTGGCCGCACCTTCCACCACCACCACCACCACCACCACCACCACCACCACCACCACCACCACCACCAGAACCACCAGCAGTCCTCAGGGAGAAGGGGATGGACAGGGAGATGCCATTTTGAGATGGCACTCAGCGGCCTTCCATAATATACAGTTGTACTCTACAATACATTATAACCTTTACCTTTAATGTATTTTTGGAATTTGCCGTGGATACTGTAGACGAGGTCAGGTACATATATCTTTTATAATAAATGAAAGACACGTTACCATGTGAAATCTAGGATGGGGGGAGGAGGGGACAGGACTTGAAAGGGATGTCCTTGTAGTTTGAATACAGGAACGTGTCTAACAGCGATGCTTAGGCTACAATCTGGTTTTTTTTAAAAACCCTTAACAGATCAAAATACCCCCCAAAGGAGGTCTAAAATAGATGTAGAATATCGGGGCAGAAAACGACGGAGAGCATGAAGGGCAGCACAACAAGGATTGCAGCCTTTGAAATATTATGGGATGACCTGCATAAGAATAATGCAGTATAGGACAGAACAAATTATCTGGAAACCCCCCCCCCCCCGGTGTTGAAGGCACCTGCCTTTATTCTAAGGCAATTCCTGAATACAGGCAAAGAACTGTCCAGCTTTTGGGTTCAGGGAGGGGACCCGATATTTCACAGTTAAATTAAAAACCTGGTTTTACAACCTCATAACTCCACCTGGAGTGACTTGGGTGTAATTACAAAAAAGTTCCTATACAGTGTGTGGGGATGAGCTGGCACCTCTTCCTGTGTTCAAAGAAGCAAGTAGATTTATGTTACCTTTTGGCAAGAGACAAAATATGGAAGAGCTTTGGATGGGATCCTAGATTAGAATACGCTGCTTTTTAAACACTGTTGAAGCATAAAGTAATATGGATTTCTTTCTGTCCATTTTTTTTTGTCTTGCAGCCAAAACCACCCAATCCTGATTGGCGTTATTCTGCGTCCTTAAGAGCGGGAATGCAAGGGTAGGTACTACACCCTCGTTCTCGTCCTTGCCACTCTGTGAGGGAAATGGCCCAGCTGCGGTCTGGTGACTATAAACAGCATAGAGCACATTCACCCACGATTGCATTTGTCCCTGCGAAATGAATGGGAGCTGTGGTCTGGGGTGTTTGAAGAAGAACTTCCTGGTGGATTGTGGCCAGAAGCAGCTGTGAGGGAAACACACAGATTCTGCTCTTTGGGCATGGCATCTGTCAGCTCTTTCCCAGATACATGATAATAAGCTCTTGCATCCTATCAGTGCATTCAGGATGCATCCTGAGCAGTGGTCTGTTGTTGGATTGCTGAACTCTGTTAAAGCTTGTAATTGTCACTCTCAATCAGCTATGAATGTTCCCTCTCTGCTTCATCATCTTCTTCTTCTTCTCCTCCTCCACCACCATCACCATCCCTCTCAGTTCACAATATAAAAACCACATTGTGCTTGTAAGCTCATTTTTCTTCCAGTAGCTGTGGAAATTATGTTGACTGGAGGAGCCTTGAACTGTCCAAAGCCTCACGGAAGTCTTAGCTTCCTGGCTAAGCAGGGATTTGAACCCACATGTGGATCATAGGCAAGCCATGCTCCGTTAGCTATGCCACTCTGCCAGTTGTAGCTGAGGGGGCATCTTGGGTAACCAGAATGACATTAGGGCATTGGAAAGACAGGAAACAAAAATTCCCTTCCCAGATCCCTGTTTAAGCAAAATTGGCTTGGAAATTGACAAGTTTTGCCAGCAATGGAAATTAACACACTGACTTCAGGATTTTGAGTTAAGGGGTTGGATCTAGGGCAACATTTCTGCTTGTGCAGAAATTCAGGGGAAAGACTGCAGTAGTTGCTCCTACTAAGCTGTATCCCCATGTATTTCTACCTGCACAAGATCCACAACCAGTTTTAGGGCACTACACTATATCGGGAAGAAAGCACTGGTGCTACAGGAGTTCTTGCCCAGTGCTACTGTGCTAAGTCTTTTTATGGTCCACTTGTGTATCACTGGATCCAAGCCATGGTCTCCTATGCTTTAAACAGGGCAAATGTCTTGATTTTGGAACACTCCCATGTGCTTCTGCCGTTGCCACTTCAATTTGCACATTAATAACTGGTGACAACTAAATCAGCTGGCCTCGTGACAGCTCGGGATGAAAAAAAAAACTGCTGTGGAAAGTTCCCTGCTGTTTTCTCTTCCTGCTCCTCAAAGGCATAAGGCACCATCAGTGCCAGGTGTTGCCAGTGACAGTGGAAGACTAGCTGAGGGCTGCCTGGAACTGACAGGACAGGGCTTCCTTATTTATTTCAGCACTAAGGCATAAACACTATGGGGGCCTGGGGATTTCCCGGCCATGCTGGAGGCTTCGCATCTCATTACTGGCAACAAAAGCCTTTTGTCAAGGCAACACGTAGGCAATGCAGTTGCACCTGAATTAAGTTGGTGGGATGCAAGCATCATCATGCAGATCAGCAACTGCAAACCGTGCAGGAAGGAAACCTTAGAGCCCTGTTTGCCACCACAAGCACACTTCTCGGGAAAGGATACTTTGCTTGTGCAAGCCGTGAGCGTTGGTGACGTCATGTTGGAGGGAGACACGTGGGCAGAAAAAGGCAAAGCAGGGGTGACGCAGGAAAGGGTCATGCTGTCTTGCTGAGAACTGTGTCGTCTAATCACTGTGTGCATTTGTTTAGCCCTGGGCACATGGAGGAGGCAGGAGGCTTACGAGGACCAGGACCAGGAGGACCAGAGCAGCAATGGCCAACAGTATCCAGCGCAACAACAGGTTAGGGAATGAGACTTCCTTTTTCTGCTTAAGGGCTGGGGTGGGAGGTGGTCTCCCGGTAAGGAGGAGCTCTTGGTCTTGGACCTGCCCTTTCCGCTGCGTGGCTCAACATTACCTTTCTGTTTTGTGTTGGGAACTTGAATCCTCCCTCTCTCAAAGAACCCCTTGTGGGTGAATAAAGGCAGCAAAAAACAACAACACAACAACAACAGTCAGGTACCAGATGAGTACCAGTTACTGGGCTGGGTGAGTCCCAGCATCCTGAATTAGAGAGAAAAAATGGGAAGATTCCAGGCAGGGGATTTGGTTTGGAGAAGTTTTGTAGCCAACACGAAAAATACCTTCCCTTACAAAAGATGGCACCATGTTGTTATGCCAACTGTCCTGTGCCTTCCGATTTTACATGCCCCTTTACTGTGTTCATGCAGCACTTCCCACCTCTCAGAAGGGACTTAAGAGTGAGGGTGTGTGTCTGCAGTGCCACCAGTGGAATGTAAAATGGCTTTGCTTAAATGAAGTGTTGGGTGGATTCAACTATTCCCAAATCGCTGATCCTGTCCCCACCAGTGACCGCCACAGGGCAAATCATGGGCATTGCCCAAGCATCCAGGTGTCCAAGTTCAGGTATGCACAACTGCATTTTTGCATCACAAGCTCCCCTGCTTGGTTATCATTGTTGCCAGCCCTGAACCTGTGCCATGAGCAGCAGCACAAGGTCCACTGGCCATCTATGGCTGGCACACAGCAGGTCAAAAGCAGGAGTAAAGCCCGTGCAGAAATGATCCACTTGCTGAATGCCCTGGAAGGATCTGTGTGCAGAGAGAATGTTGTGGATGTAAACAACAAGCGAAGGGAAGAGGGGAGAGCCAGGCCATTCAACAGGGCTGCCACACCTTTATGCTACCTTCTCACAGTCAGCAGAGACCAGTGATGTGGTCGGTTCATGTCTGTGTTGTCAAGAAGAGGCAACCCTGTAGGTGCTCGGGCAGAATGTTCGCACTGCACAATGCAGGCCCATCCTCTGCTGTCTCTGCTCAGCCTTACTCCCTGTGCCACACAGTGGTTGTTATTATTAAAGTTTGTATCCAAAAGAAATTTCAGAGGGATCGGAGCAAACAAAACCATTAACAGAAAACACGTAACCCTTTCCTTTGGGTAGGGGCCATGGCTCAGCGGTAGAGCCTCTGTTTGGCATGCAGAAAGTCCCCGGTTCAATTCCCAGCATCTCCAGTTAAAAGGACCAGGTGGGAGGTGATGTGAAAGACGTCCACCTGAGACCCGGGAGAGCTGCCGCCAGTTTGTGTAGGCAGTACTGACCTTGATGAACCGAGGGGCTGATTCATTGCAAGGCAGCTTCATGTGTTTTTACGTGTTCCCCACATAAAACCAGAGGCAGACAGTGTAATATCTGTGTTAAAATCAGGCATGATCAGTCAAACTTAGATGCCTGGCAGAGCCAAAAAGAGAGAGAAAAAATACATTTTGTAGAGACTGAGCTTGACCAGCCTCTCTCTCTCTAGGAGTCAGTTTCACAAACATGGATGTAGACTGGTGGTGCGGTTCCCATTCCCAGACCTAGGGGGCATGGGGACCAAATAGAGTTGTGTTTTCTGGTGTTCCTTGTGATCATCAGAGGTCATTTCGGGGGGGGATCGCGGGGGATCGCAGTTCCCCCGGGTGAGGTACGGGGGCGGGGCACATGACGAAGCCCCGCCCCTGCTTCCGGCCGCCCTGCTTCCGGCCCTCATTCAGCCAGGAGGAGGCAGGAGAAGAGGAAGGGTAAGTTGCTGCCTCCCTGCCTCTCCCCACCCCTGTCTGCCTGGGGCCAGGGAGGGCCTTCGCGGGGTTGGGGGCGGGGTGTGTGGCCTTATGACACACTTCTGGTGATGTCAGGGGGTGTGGCCTTATGACACACTTCCGGTGATGTCAGGGGGTGTGGCATATGCTAATGAGTTATGCTAATGAGTTCCCCTAGCTCTTTTTCTACGAAACGACCCCTGGTGATCACAGATTTCCATTCTCTGCCACAGTGTATGGCCTGTAAGCTGCTAAACTTAAATAAACTGAGGCTGAAACATTCTCTACCAGTGCAGGGCAGCAAGTCAATGCGTAACAGTTTAGGGTTGCCAACCTCCACGAGGGACCAGAGGATTTTCCGGAATTACAACGAATCCCCAGACAACAGAGATGGGTTTCCCTGTAGAAAATGGCTGCTTTGAAGGGCGGACTTCATGGCATTATACCCCAGTGAGGTCCTTCCCCTCTCCAAACCCACCCTTCCTCGGGCTCCTCTCCCAAATCTCCAGGAATCTCCCATCCTAGACTTGGCAAACCTAACTACATGATATGCCTAACATGTGTTGGGTCCTGGGCAGTGTTCCCTCTAAACTGAGTTAGTGTGAGCCAGCTCACAGTTTTTTAGCCTCCGGCTCACACATTTTTGTCTTAGCTCAGGAAGGAGGGCTCCAGAGGAAACTAGTTGATGCAGCAGCCCAATCGCTCGCTTACAACTTTAATGCCAGTCGCTCGCAAGGTAGAATTTTTGCTCACGAGACTCCACAGCTTAGAGGGAGCCTTGGGTCATGGGTGCATAAACAGACTTGCAGTCAGATGTGCATCAGGGAAACCCACCTTAAATAGCACTCGTTACTAGCTAGCATACGTGAGTGGGAGCTTCTAGTTTCCCTCTTGCCTACTTTCTGCCAGCAGAAGGAGGTGCTTTTCAGCCCTCTTCTTGCCTCCATGTGTTCTTCCCAGGGCACACGGAGCCAGAGAAAAGGGTCAGAAGCTGCACTCCTGCTGTTTCTGCTGCCAAAAACTGGGTGAGAGGAAAACTGGAAGCTCTTTCTCCCCCCTTGCAGTGCTGAGTGCATGAATGCTATTTAAGGTGAGTTCCCCGGATGTTATGTCTGACTGAGTCCAGCTGTGCACCTGTGACCCAACGCATATCAGGTGTATTACGTATTTTGGCCTTCAGATCATCTTTTGTGGAAAGAGCAGGACTCACTGCCTGTTGTGATGTGTGTGTAGAGTGCTCTTGAGTCACACAGCCAACTTGTGGTGACCCCGTAGGGTTTTCAAGGCCAAAGACATTCAGAGGTGGTTTGCCGTTGCCTGACTCTGCATGGCTACCTTGCAGTTCCTTGGTGGTCTCCCATCCAAATGCTAACTAGGGCTGACCCTGCTTAGCATCTGAGTTGATCAGGTTAGCCTGGGCCAGCCAGGTCAGGGCATCTGCTGTGATAGGGCTGCTGAATTCAATAGAGGACAGGGCAGCTGCAAGCAACTTTAATTAACAGGTCCGGTGGATGGGAGAATTCTGGCAGCTGCAGCTGCCTTATCCTCACCAGACTAGTCAAGTAGAAACGTCTTCCTTCAATACAGCCATGAAATGCAGCAAACCCCCATCCCAGATAGGGATGCCAGCCTCCAGGTGAGACCTGGGGATCCCCCAGAATTACAGCTCATTGTCCAGACCACAGAGATCGGTTCTCATGGAGAAAATGGATGATTTGGAGTGTGGGCTCTGTGGCATTGTGCCCCACTGAGGTCCCTGTCCTCCCCAGGCTCCATCCCCAAATCTCCAGGAGTTTCCCAGCCTGGATCTGGCAACCCTACCCCCCATCCCCCGCCAATGGCCAGGGCAGACCTGGCAACCCTGGCTCTGCTAGGTGAGGACATTTGGCTTCAACCTGAGGCAGCTGATTGGGAGGGTAGAGGTAATATTGGCCCCGGTCAAACTAGCGGGAAAAGCCGTGGCAGAAGTGCTGCTTTTTAGAGCCGGAACAAGCAGAAACGCGGCAGCGGGATCGGACAGGTCCCCCGAGGCTCTGCGCTTCTGCCGGCAGCCGCGATCACATGCTGCAGGGGAAGCGACTCTAAGAAGGGCGAGGAGGGCCAGCCGCAGCAGTTGTGTGCATGCGCAGTTCGCCATTACCACGCATACCACGGGATAACCGCGCATCGGCGATCCCACGGCCGCCGTTGCTGCACGTCATCCGGTAGGTAATGCCCTTTCACTAGTCTCTTTTAGATCCACATCTTCAGCCGGAAGGGATGGGTTGGGGGCGGGGGCGCGATGCTTGCCAGATGTTGGCATCTGATCGCGGCCAGTTTAATCCGCCCTCAACCCGTCCGTTTCGCGGGGCAAATCCTCCCGTGTGACCGGGGCCATAGTCAAACATATCTATACACCGTGAGTTAAAACTGTATTTCTCAATTGCCTTAAGCCCTTCCTGCTTTTCTTCTCTTCTTTGGTGCCCTAGTCAATGAGCTTGTCACTCCCCACTCCCCCCATCAAATGAAGATGCAAAGATATGCTTTTTAGACAGTCGACCCATTTCATGCAATTACACTCAAGTGAATCAGCCTGACGTTTGCTTTTGTGGTGTCTACCCCAGAGCCACACCTGGGTCTCATCGCACCTTCATTGGCTGCTCATTTTCCGCACCACTCAGGCAAGCAGCTGTTGGATTTCCCTGCTGCCTTTGCCTAGAAGGAAGTGCTTCTGATCCCAGAGGTAGATAACTTGCACTTGGTGTTGTTGGTCTACTTGACCAATTAAGTCTAGATGGCAGGGCACTAAAAGGGCCCTTTCATTTAGTGGTCCACCAGACCTGTGGCCCAGGTTCTTCACACTGAAGAAATCAGAGAGTTAATCAATGGGAGCCTGAAAAGATGATGTCACAGTAAGTTTTAAGAAGGATAAAGATGTTAATCGTTAAGCCCACAAATCCTTAATTCCTTGCACACAGCTGCACTCTGAATTGGTGAGGCAAAGCAGCAGCTCCTTTTCCTTTGGCATTAAAGCTGGTTCTCAGTTACACAGATCAAGCCGCCATCGGATTCAGAGTGAGTTTCACCTAAGCAAAGAAGAGCAGGGTTTATCCTGTTGATGCTTATGCCTTTTAAGCTAATGCCATGTCCTGGATTTCACTCTGGTGATGGCAAGAGCCAACTCCGTGCTGAAAAGCAGAGGCGGCTTCTAAAAATGGTTCCTG